GACACCTTCCTCTGCACCTTCAAGCGGGTAGCCCTGGGTGCCAGATGGTATAGGGCAGCCTGTGCCCTATGACTGGTTCCCTATCTGGCTGACAAGGCTCAAGTGGCCTATATGGCGCTCAGTAATGACCAGGCCAAAGACTATGAGGCAGTGAAGGCGGCCATCTTAGACCAGGTGTGACTAGCGGCATAAAAATACCGCCAGAAATTTCAGTCAGCCAGATGGACAGGGGGTTTGCGGCCCCGGGCATTCACCCAGAAGCTGATGGATTGGGCCACTCGTTGGCTGCAGTCGGATACCCAAACGGTGGGAGAAATTATGGACCGAGTGCATCTAGAACGGTTTTTACAGGCCTCTCAGAGAGCGTGCGAGTCTGGGTCAGACGACACCAGCCGAGCACAGTGGAGGCTGCAGTCAAACTAACTGAGGAGTATGCGGAAGCAGACTTACCCCGGAAGGAGGATCGGATGTGCAGGGACCTGGAGTCAGGGGAAAAAACCCAGAGAAATGCCCCCCGGGAAGGGCCCGGAGAGGAAGAAAGAGGAGCCCCCAGTCGTCCTGGTCAACTCATGTCCTGGCAGTGCGGATGACCGGGACATAAAAGGGGTGACTGCCAGGAGATGGAATGCGGCCTAGCCGAGTTTTGCAGCTGGACTAACATTGGAGGGTGGGGGAAGGGGCAAGGACTGCCACCATTCCAGGGAGGGTGGAGAGGAAGTCCCCGGAGGACCCTAATGGACATGGCCTCAGCCTGCTCGCTCATCCATAGGGGGCTGGTAAAGTCACACTGGCTTATCCCTGGGGTGAGGATGAAACTTGAGTGCGTCCACAAGGATAGGAAGCACTGTCCAATGGCCCAGGTGCCCCTGGACACGTGGGGCAGGTTTTCCTGGAAACGGGTCAGGGTAGTGGAGGGGTTACTGTACCCAGTGATATTGGGGACTGACTGGAACCCCTTCCCAAAAGGGAAAGGAGGTGAGGGGAGGAGACTCATGGGAGGAAAAAAGAGAGGGACCCTGAAGAAGGGAGGGGTGCCCTCTATGCTAATGGACCCCAGTAAAGGGGAGGACCAAAGTCCTCAGGAAAGAACAGAGGAAAACCCTAGACAACAGAGTCCGAATGGGGAAGAAAAGGGAGTAGAGGAGGAGGGGCCAAAGGAGTGCCCCAAAATAGAGCCCCCAGACAAAGAGACCCAGACCCCACTGGACAGGTTGGAGGAACCTTTGGCCTGGGTGTCCTGGGGGAAGTCACGGCTGACCCTGATCCCCTGCTGGAGGGAAAGGGGGAGAAGCAGGGGGGCCAAACCTGGGGGTGCAATTGGTGTGGCGACCTGTAGGTGGTGGCAGAGCTGTGGGGCCATCCACCCCCTACACAGGGTATGTTCTGTGGGTGGGGGATGAACGAACCCGCAAGAAGGACCCTGGGGAGCACCCAGTGGGAGGCAAGAGACTTCCCTGGAGTAACACCACTGGCAGAGGAGGAGAGGCCTGGGATGGACCAACCTAGTGGTTACCTAAGAGGGGAGGTATCTGACAGGGTGCTGGGCATGAAGAGCTTAATTAGCCTCCTGCCATGCCAGAGTGGACTGGGGCTGGTTGAATAGCCCTGCCTGCTTGGCAACTATAAACAGCTGCCAGCCTAATTAGCCGGGGGCTATAAAGGCTTGTGCGGGGGAGAAAGGCCAGAGGCTGAGAGGGGCTGGTGAAGTCTGGCTGTAAAACCCTGCACATAGATAGTAAGGTGGTGGTGGGAAAGAACTATAAATAAAATACATGAGTGATTGCATCAACCTAAGGCGCCCCTGATTGGTTTTGTGAGGGCAGCAGGGGCAGAAGCAAGAGGGGCCCAGCAGCGCCTCGCTACATGCAGCCATCCCATTTATTGACATAGCTTTAAGGAGCGTACAGTATGGCACTTCCTATGTTCATGTATATGACGACTGTGCAATGATTCGTTGAGAATGTGTGCTCTCAGAGATTATCTATCTGAAATAGTATGACAGAGATAACATTTCACATTGACAGGGCTCTAAGAGCTGGGCAGAGAGCAGTAGTGAAATGCTGCTGTATCACTGCTCTTGTTTCAAAATGCAAGTGTAGTAAACATGTTGTAGTTGTACAGCTATTTTTGTGTCCATGCCAATGTTATATGTTGGGTTAGTGATGGCTTTTCCTTAAACCTGCTGGTTATAATATTAATATAAGCTCCTTTTGTACGTTACACTACACGTAACTCTATCTTACTGTATGTACTGGGAGAGGGGTGTGTAAATCAGGGCAGGATTTGGCCAGCGTTTTTTTTTGAGAATGGATTGATTGAGTACAGAGAAGTAGTTTGTTCTGGCTAGTTCCCTGTCCGTTTTCAGACATACACTCCCTTTTTCAGAACAATTAAAGTCCATAAGTTGTGCATACCTTTCTCTGCAAGAACAGAATATCGTTGGCTCATTTCATATTTTTTTATTAATTTCAGACCCCTGAAGAAGAAACACTTCCAAAGGGTGTTGCTATGAAAACAAAAGGTTTCTTCGTAAATACATTTGTGCTGCATGAAGAAAGCAAGACAGCCTTGAAGTATTTCCAGTGGATTTTTCTGATGATGTAAGTTCTACATTTTCCTAATCAGAATGGGATGCATTATCAAACCCTTTTACCCTGTTACAAAGACTAAATTCCTTATGGTAGCAGGAACAGTGGACCTTATTATGGCTACTGATAAGACCATAAAGATTCTAGAAGGGCAGTAGATCTAAACCTTCCTAGTGTGAAATATTATTTTAAGAAAACCCAAGGGAAGTGAGGACTTGATTCCATCTCCACAAAAACAATATAAAATGCTGCATTTGGCAAGCAAATCTTTGAAGATGGATAGGGCAGCATCTTTAGGAGGGCAACAAAACTTCCTCCATTTACATTGCAAACCACCTTCCCTTTACACTGCCAGTCCACTCCCAAGGCCACCCCTCCCCCCGAGATCTCCTTGTATCCAGGCACCGCTTCGTGCTTAGTGCTTCTACTTCCCTACTTCTAGTAGGTCTATCCAGCAATTAACAACTCGTGGCTGGATCATGCCAGCTGACTTGGGCTCATGGATCTCAGGCTGTGGGCCTGTTTAATTGCAATGTAGACATCCGGGCTCAGGCTGGAGCCCAGGCTCTAGGATCCTGTGACATGGTCCCCCTTTATCTTCTCACTTGGGTCACCTCTAATAGCAGTGTTACACTCACTCCATTGAAAGCTCATTCAGTCCATTACTTGCCGCCTAACAGGTGAGAAGCTTCCTGTCTTGCTATTTCTAGGTGCTCTAAATCAGAGTCGCCCTCCCACTTTGTTCTCTCCAGAGGTCCCAAATTCACAATGGTTCAGTCTGGAATATCTAGATTTCCTGCCTCTCCAGAAACAGAAGTGTTGCTGCTTGGGTTCATTTTGCATGGGGGAATCTATCAGATGCTAGAATGAGGGAAAAGACTAGAAAATTGTCCAATTCACGCTGTACAGAAATGTTAGATTGCGTGTGCGCTGTGCTCTTAGCACTCCGGTTTGTTTAATTGAAAAAAATTGCTCTGAGATTCATAGCATGTTCTTTACAGGATATATAGGTAGGAACACTCCGACACAGCAATCTGCTATTGCCCCAGTGCTGTATCCATATTCATTAAGGTATAATGAATCTATTAATTGAATATGTAAGTTCAGTTAATTAGATATAAGACTTATTCCTTTAGTTTAAAGGGTAATAATAAAAAATTTAAACTGGCAAACCAGATTGAGCAATTAGAGATGATAAATGTGAACTGGAAAGTGCAATATTCCAATATGAATTAGTTAATTGCATCCGTTCATTAGGTGATATACATTAGCAGAAAGGTCAGTCCATTTGAGGCTTGATGTGTTTTTCAAATAGTAAATTCAAAAAAGCAAATTGAAGAGAAGTTCAAAGTAGGAAGGTATGTTATATATCTCGCTCAGCATAGAGTATGTGGAACCAAAAGCACACCTGGCACAACTGCATAGATGTTAGCACACACTTTATAGAGCACTGACCCAAGACATTGCACATTGTCACCATCCCTGTCTGAGGTTTAGTGATGCTCAGTTGACAGCAGTGGGCCAGACTGTGCATGTGGCTCTTTGCCTGCTAGGCAGATAGAGGACACCCACACAGGTGGCTATGGTCTCAGGCAGATCTCAGGAGACCTTCAGATTTTGAGGCTACTCCTTGTGCACGTTCCATATGAGGTAACGTCAGCTCCCAGCAAACCAGTCTAGTGGTAAATCGGTGCTGGGAACATTATGTTTAAACCATAGACTTAAAAAGATAATACCAAACTTTGCAACTGACCCCTGTTTCTAATATGGGCCAAACCAAAACCACAGACCCCAACCCCTGCAGACTCTTTTTGCTTGCACCCATCTATGGGTTTATAGGCAACTGAATAATTTGTGGCTTGACTAAAATCCTGACTTTAGGCTTAGGATCAGATTAACTGCAGCAGCGAGGAATAGATCTGTGCAGCGTGAAATGGACTCTATCACAAGTTTGAAAGCTGATCCATTGGTCTCATTTACAGTAAATAGTATATCAAATCTAGTTTTCATCATTGGTAGTTTCTGGACTTCCAATGGTCAGGAATCATTGCTGAGGATTGACGTCACCATCTATTTTGGATTCTATATTGAAACCATTAGTGTAAAAAGTAAATCAAAATATAAGTATGGTTTTGTAGCATTTGTAGAACTTACAACAGATCCAAAAATCCTCATTAAGCAATTACAACTACAGATGTGTAATATTTAGACGCTGGATCCTTTTTGGTATGTAGAATCTTTTTATAGTGAATTAATATTTCTCTGTAAAATCCCTGTAGTAAGTTTTAGGACTGTACTTTTATCTGGAGTAAGTATCGAGATCATTTTGCATGCAACTTGAGGAATGTAATTCTTAAAATATTTCAAACAATAAACCTCTCTCAAATCATCAGGCTTGGAGACATTTAAAGAAGTGATTCAATTAACTCAGGGGGAGGGGGAAGTGCTATAAGGTGTGATTTATTTTTGCAGATAAATTACAATACCAGTATCTGTGGAAGAGCATTTGCTGCCATCATGGCCAGTAATGAAAATACCAGGCAATTAATATGAGACACTTGAGGCTGAAGCATTGACTGCATGAAGTTCAAATTTTAAAGTGGAAATTTGATCAGAAAAATGACTTAGTGGAAGTGGCTTTTTGGTCCTTATTTATTCTCCAGTTCTAATTCCTAATTTGATCAATTTTCCAAGTTAATTGTTTTTAAACTGCCAAAACTGTAAACTGAAACCAATCAGCCTATTTCTTTCTTACTTTGCAAGTACATCAGCACAAAGCATTACCTACAACTAACAGTCTGGAATTAGAGTTTTGCTGGCAATTTGGTTGATGAGTTTGTTCTGCTTTTATGCACCTATACCGAATCAGTGCAAGGGTAGAAAAAAAAGTAAAATTATTTTCCCAGAAAACAAAGTGCAGCACTATACAACATTGTTTTTATAATGCCTTTATACAAACTGAATCCCCCAAAAGCTTTATGGAGTTAAATGACATAATTACAAAGTTAATGTTGGGGGAGCAGATGAGAAATATGAAGAGATGAGATGTTTGCAGATAAGACTTGAAATGAGAGAGAGATTTAATGAGGCAGGTTATTCAAGATGGCAAGAGCTGCAGAGGAAAAGGCTCTCACACCCACAATGGTGACACCGGAGTGAAGGACGTCCATAAAACAGGCTTATATCAATCTATGGAGGGCTTTGAAAACAAGGTCTGTTTTCAACTGGGTCCTGAAATGAATGGGGAGCTAGTAGAGTTGTGGGGTTTTTATCATTCTTTTTACTGATTTTTATAAAGAAACAGACAATGTACAGTACAAAAAGGTAAATGACTTACAGCTTGTATATGTTTACAAATACCAAGCAGAATTGTTTGAGTAGCAGAGTGATGTGATCAGACTCCTTTGTGTGTGTTGAAAGGGTGGTGATAAACAGTCTAGAGCTGCTAGGGGAGTTTAGGAGATTCCATTGGGTATAGAAATAGTCGAGGATCAAGGAGATGAAGGCATAGACGAGAACCTCAACAGCCATGGAGGTGAAGCAGTGCCTATAAATGTCAGTGGTGGGTCAGCATTTACGTACCTTTTGTTATTTTCTAATAATAGTGGAATACTATTACATATTTTTGTATAAAATACTTAGTGGGATTTAAGTGAACAAACTCTAAGATGACCAGGAGCTCAAGTGCATAATGATATTAATGAAACTCCTGTCAGAATAATGCCCAACTACAAATCCACCTCATTGCCTAAGATTTGGTAGGTTTGCTTAGCTATTCGCTGTATGAGCTAGACTCTCCGGACATAGGAGTAGAGCCCTACCAAATTCATGGTCCATTTTGGTCAATTTCATGGTCATAGGATTTTAAAAATCATACATTTCATGATTTCGCCTATTTAAATCTAAAATTTCATGGTGTTGTAATTGTAGGGGTCCTGACCCAAAAAGGAGTTGTGGAGGGGGTCTCAAAGTTATTGAAGGGGGGGTGTAGTTCTGCTACCCTTACTTCTGGCTGCTGCCGGTGGCAGCGCTGCCTTCAGAGCTGGGCAGCTGGAGAGCGGCAGCTACTGGCTGGAATCCCAGCTCTGCAGGCAGAACCGCCACCAGCAGCAGTGCAGAAGTAAGGATGCCCTGGTATGGTATTATGACCCTTACTTCTGCGCTGTTGCCTGCATTGCTGGGCCCTCAGTAAGCAGCCGCCACTCTCCGGCTGCCCAGCTCTGAAGGCAGCAGTGCAGAAGTAAGGGGGCATGGTATGGTATTGCCATCTTTACTTCTGCATGGCTGCTGGCGGGGTGCTGCCTTCAGAGCTGGGTGCCCGGCCCACACCTGCCACTCTACAGCCACCCAGCTCTGAAGGCAGCACAGAAGTAAGGGTGGCAATACCATGACCTCCCTAAAATAAATTTGGGACCCTCTTACAACTCCCTTTGGGTCAGGACCCCCAATTTGAGAAATGTTGTTCTCCCTTGTGAAATCTGTATAGTATAGGGTAAAAGCACACAAAAGACCAGATTTCACGGTCCATGATGCATTTTTCTTGTCCATGAATTTGGTAGGGTCCTACATATGAGCGATGGTCAGCATGAGAACATAGATGACTCTCTGCTACCCTGATCCTGAAGACAACCTGGTGCTGGGTTGTTCCCTTTGGGACTGCTTTGCCAGCCCAGGATCTTTGCAGCACAAATTACTCTAGCCACACCTCCTCCCAGCCCTAACATGGAGGAGTAGGTGGTGCAGAGATGCTATGCTGGCATTATGCCTGGATTTCTTTACATGAGCGATCATCAGAGGCCCAGTTAGGGAAGCATTCCAGTTGCTTTCTGGACTATTGATGGCCCCCTACACCTTTTGAGTAGTTTTACTTTCTAGTGGTTCACATTTGCTGACAGTTATTTGTGCTGTTTTTGCTTCTGGTGCAGCATAGGTCTAAGGCCACGTCTACACTGGCAAGTTTGTGCGCAGTAAAGCAGCTTTGAGCGCTGTAACTCCCGAGGTGTACACACTGA